TCTCACCTGGCTCCCAGTGCAGACGTCACACAGCACATCTCCAGGGCCAGCAGTGCTCTCGCTGGGATAAGGGCGTTTCATCCCACTTCTTAGTTTATCTACTGCTGCAGCCAGAACTGTATTTCTGTGCAGAATAGGCCTTTTGGGGAAATCCTTTCTGCACTGGGGGCATTTGTAGACACAATCGGGATTATCCCGGTCCCAGCAGCTCTTAATACATCCCATGCAAAAATGGTGTCCACAGGGAAGAGTCACTGGATCCTTCAGAGTCTCCAGACACACTGTGCAGGCGAGACAGGTCTGCGCTGTGGAGGTGCTGGGCTCTGCCATTGTACCGCTTGGTACCAATCGGTAAGGGAAGGCAGGGAGCCGAGAGGATCGCGTGAGGCTGTTCCAGTTCAAACTCCTCTCTGCCTGACTTCCTGGTGCTGCCCGGAGCTGCAGGAGGTGGGGTTTGGCTGCAGTACAGGCTGACGGAGAGAGGAGACAGGGAGATGTTTTTGTGAGAAAAGTTATTTGGCACTAGGGCGTCACCCCAGCAGTCTGAGATCTCCGTAGTTTAAAGGAACATTGTTGTTGACAAAGTGTGTGGGCCAACGGCACTGCAGAGGAAGTGTTGAGCAGAGAAGGTTGGGGCAAAATTAAAAATGAGTTTTTTTGCATGTTCCTTCTCTGCTGGTCCCTCACGTTACCGATTTTCCTCTGCCTCACCCCCCAGGTTAGCACAACTGTCCAACCTCTGTTCTGTGGACGTGTGGTAGGACAGTTACAGAGGCAGATAAACACACAGGCGCCCAGGAAGTCACAGTGACAACAGAACGGGTTGTCTTCTGAGAGACAGGCCTTTCCATCAGCCTCCTGACTTCCTGTCAGCTCAGGAAGATACAGTAAACCCTGCGTGGCGCTGTGGCCCTTCGTGTAACACACTGCGGTCTGCAGTCGCACAGGGTCCAGGTTCAAATCCACAAACTAGTCTGCAGTCAGTGAGACTCTGGCTTTAAATCAAGTTGATCCCAGCAGAGATCTTCTGAGGGACAGGTCTTCCCATCAGTCCCCTGACTTCCTGTCAGTTCCCATGATGCTGTTTGCTGATGGGGAAGACCAGGAAGAGAAAGCAGAGGGAGGAGACAGGATTTAGTCATCCCTGGGGATCTGATCGCGTATCTCACTGGTGTGGAGTGGGAGCTGGAGACTTGTTTCTCTAGGATTCATGTAGAGGAGTCACTGTCTCCTTGGAAACACTGACAAGACCTGGAGTCCAGAAAGGACTGGAGTCCAAACCAGGTCAAGTTTCCCCGATCCAGTCCGGTCCAATAAGAATCCAGTGACTGCTCTTTCCTCTGACAGAACAGAAGTGCACTGCCATCATAAAGCTGGAGCAAATCTCACTGCTGCCGTCTCAGTGTCTGACTGACTGTGGCTCAGACTCTAGTGAAACCCTCTCTCTCTCTGACACGGGACGGGATTGTCCAGGCCCGACCCAGGAACTCAGAAGCGAGGGAAGCGATCGCTAGCTTCACAAGCAATCCTCTTTGTTGTCATCTTGCATGAACTGTTTTTCTGCATGCGTGTCTGTATACAGTAGGCATCAAACAGACCGTTTTCAGTGCCTGAACGTTCAGTGTGGATCATGAAATATGCAGAAATCCGCTCTGCAGCAGGAACTACTGCTTGAACTCAGAAATCTGCAGTGTAATAACGATCCACAGCTGGAGTTCATGAGGGGGTGAAACTACCTAAAACTCCAGCTAACTGGCTGCAGCTGAGCCCCCCTGCTCATCCTGTAGCTCCACCCCTGGTGCTCTGCTCATATCCAGGAAATCAGACAGCCTCTGCAGAAAGCCTCGCCTCCACTCTGCCAGTCTCTGCAACAGACATGGCTGAAACCAGTATCTCACTGGCTCAGGAGCAGCTCAGCTGTTCGATCTGCCTGGACATCCTGAAGAATCCGGTGACCATTCCCTGTGGACACAGTTACTGTATGGGTTGTATTAAGAGCTGCTGGGATCTGGATGATCAGACTGGAATCTACAGCTGCCCCCAGTGCAGACAGACCTTCAGCCCAAGGCCTGTTCTGCGCAGAAACATGGTGATGAATGTAGTGGTGGAGGAAATGAAGAAGACAGGGCTCAGTCCTCCTCATCTCCAGCCTCGGCCATGTTCTGGCCCCGGAGATGTGCCGTGTGATTTCTGCACCGGGAGACAGATGAGAGCTGTGAAGTCCTGTCTGGTGTGTCTGGCCTCTTACTGTCAGACTCACCTCCAGCCTCACTGTGAATCAGACCGTTTGAGGAAACACAAGCTGGTCGATGCTACTGCACATCTGGATGATCTTGTCTGTCCGAGTCATGACAAACCCCTGGAGGTCTACTGCCGTACTGATCAGAGGTGTATCTGCGTGTTGTGCACGAAGGATGAGCACAGAGGCCATGATACTGTCTCAGCTGCAGCAGAGAGGACTGAGAAACAGGTAAAGACTTCAATCCTTCACTATGATCTCCCTGACAAAGAACAGAGTATCACACAGGAATGTAACATGGCTTTAGTCATAAATACATTAGAATTCAATAGTGTTTAGAAAGCAGTGGCCATCCCTCTATCTATATGATGGAAAAGAGCAGTTTGCACAGAGAAGTCTGTAACTGTGAGACGCAGATGGCGAGACCAGTGGGTCTTCACTATGCAGCTTTGTATGATTATAAATGTATCGCATTACTTGTATCTCAAGATATAGCTCCTTTTATTTTCAATCCCAGACAGCATGGACCAATAATAATAAATGAGAATCTATTATTTAAATATATATTAAAATGGGTGACTAAGGGCTCTGGAGTCGCAGCTTGCTGCAGGTGCTGTTGTCTCTTATCAGTTGTGTTTCCCATCTGCTCTATTTTAGTCAAACCATTGAAATCAAAGATCAACTCTTTACCCAAAGGGTGGTGGGGGTGTGGAACAAGCTGCCCAGCCCTGTGGTTGAAGCCGTTACCCTGGCTTCTCTCCAGACACAGCTGGATGAGCTCCTGAGCTTGTTTAGCGACTAACAAACGGCTCCTCTTGTCTGTAACCATGTTAATGTTCTTAAGTTCACTATCTCTTCTGATTTAAACTGGGATATATTTTAGAAGGCTGTTGTTGAGGCAAAGTCTGGTGCAGATTGCTCGAGCTCAGGACACACAGCAGCGCAGCGCTGGGTCTGTGCTGCAGCAGAGACATCCAGCTGACAGGGGATTCCCCTGTTTTTAATAGGCGTCTTCACACTTGTCTCATCTTGCAAAGCAGACGTCTGATTTCCTTCCCTGCTGATACTCAAGGGCTCACACGTTGCCTCTCGGTGTGGTCAGTGTGTCCCTAACACCCCTCGACACAGACCCCGCTGGGGAACAGACAACGAGGGGGACAAACGCACAAAGCCGCTTGTTTTAGGGAAGGGCCTTGAAGTGCTGGTTGTAGATGAGAAACTACCCTTGTAATCGCTTTTGTCAGCACCTGTAACACAGAGCAAGACAATCAGAGCTGGAGCTTCTACAGCAGCCAAGTCAGTGTCTTTTCCCACAGTGTGATTACGATTGAACAACAATAATAATCAACTTTCTCTGATATAGCGCCTTTAAAGGTGGCTTCTCAAAGCGCTTTACAGAATACAATATAATAAAGAAAAAATACACAAGATAAGCAGGATGAGGAGACAGTACATGCTGGTAACAGAGGAGTAAAGAACAGTTCAGCAGACTCTTCTGAAGAAGGAGGTGTTGAGTCTGGATTTGAGGGAGTTTAGAGAAGGAGACTCTCTGATATCCTTGGGGAGAGGGTTCCAGAGCCCTGGGGCGCAGCAGGAGAAGCCCTGTCACCCCTAGAGTGTGGTCGGGCTCGGGGGACAGACAGGAGAGCAGGATGAGCAGAGTGAAGGTGGTGAGGTGGGGAGCAGGGCGACCGCAGCTCAGACAGGTACTGAGGCGCCGAGCCATGCAGAGCCTCACAGGTGAGCAGGAGGATTTACAGCCTTGTAGATGCGTCAATCAACAACTTCAACTGTTGTTCTCATATTTGAACATCTAAGAATCCTCCTATAGAGTAAAACTCCACCGGAGATCTTTTTGTGGAGCAGAAGAGGAGTTTATTGTATATTTGGCCGAAGAGAGGCACCCTCCCTGCAATTAGGAGGATGGTTCTAAGAAGACAGTTCCAGCTGGCCTTTACACACTTACTTGATAAGGAATACAAAGAGCTTAAGTCTCAACAAGGAAAACTTCAACCTTTTTCAATTTCTATTGGTTAAGCAAACTTCTACCTCAATCATAAGATGTCTCCCTAACTAAGCTACATCAGTTTTCTCTAAGAGCATGTAGTTGTGATAGGCTTTCTAAACAAAAATAATTCTTTGGGACTCTTGAAACAAACCTTCTTTCTGTCTGCAGGCCCCTGATCTTATCAGCAGCAGACACATTTAACGTTGCAGCTGGTTTTTTGCTGAACAGGGTTGTACAGAGAGAGAATTTAACCCTTCACTATGGGGAAGAGGATGGATACATATTCTTTCAAGTCTGGGTAAAAAGTACAGTAAGAATGTATTGTAATTCTTAGTTCAATGAGCTCTCAAGAATTGGTGAAAGAGCATTTCTGCACTTGGATGATAACAAGGAAAAATCCTGCTGAGAAATATTCTGTGTTTCTCCACAGGAGCAGCTGGGGGCGACACAGACACAAACCCAGCAGAGACTCCAGGAGAGAGAGAAGGAGCTGCAGGAGCTGAGACAGGCTGTGAAGTCACTCAGAGTGGGTATTGACCAGAGGAGTGGACACACTGACACACATTCCCACAGCTGGACACTGGACCCACCAGTACCCTGAGGAAACACCACATACAGTAGAATGTAGCTTGAGTGTTGTCCTGTGTGATAATCCACTGTGTGTCTCCTCACTCAGAGCTCTGCACACACTGCAGTACAGGACACTGACAGGATCTTCACTGAGCTGATCCGCTCCATTGAGAGAACACGCTCTGAGCT